GTATGATCCTGCGTAACAACCATATATGCTTGTCTGACCCGCCATCGGAGGGCCTCCGCCGGCCCGGCCTCGTGTCGGTGCTCTGGCGGTCGGTTCCTCCGAACAGCGGGTTCGACTCTGATGGCAGGGAGGGTGTGCTGCGTGGGGGTAACCCTGCGTGTCTCTTCCCTCCCGGGCCGCCCGATATGAAGCGTGACCGAGACGAACCGTCTGACTCAGGGGTCCCACCACGGGTCCCGCGGCGGGATGCTTGTCATATATGCTCGTCTGCAAAGAGTGAACTGCCTGGTCCTGCCCTGGTGTTCCTCGACGGCTAGTGTCCAGCCGTCAGCTGTGCTATCAGCAAATTTGACCCGCCATCGGAGGGCCTCCTGACCGGGTCCACATGCCGGTGCTTGGCGGTCGGAATAATAATATTTTACAGGGCTCAGAGGTCTGCACTTTGAAGCTCCTGGAGCGGGGGGCAGCTAAGGGGCACTAATGTCTTACTTGGATGTACTTATGTGTTTAGTCAGAGTGAGAGTGCTTGAGTTTGGGTACACATCTTTGCCAGACACACCCACCCGTGGAAAGACGAAATATGACAAAACTGTTAAAGTGTGAACCTCCAGCACGGGGGGGGGGGTGCCTTGAAGAAGGCCGACTATGGATGCTGATGGGCTTAGGGTAGATCACCGCAAAGTGTTTCCAGGGGCATGAGGTTCTGTAGGGTGTGAACATCTGGGTTTGCACATGTCAGGGAGAGATGGGAATAAGATGCAGCAGTGCTAAGTGCTAAGGTGCTGTGTGCGGACAGTAGAGCACCACAAAATCGACCACCTTTAAGTATAACCAGGGGCATAACATCCAGGGTGGGTGGTGCTGTGAATAAGTGGTGATGAGCAGAAACCAAGATGGTGATGACCAGAAACCAAGATGATGATGACCAGAAACCAAGATAGTGACGAGCAGAAACCAAGATGGTGATGACCAGAAACCAAGATGGTGACGACTAGAAACCAAGATGGTGACGACCAGAAACCAAGATGGTGACGACTAGAAACCAAGATGTTGACGACCAGAAACCAAGATGGTGATGACCAGAAACCAAGATGGTGACGACAAGAAACCAAGATGGTGACGAGCAGAAACCAAGATGGTGACGAGCAGAAACCAAGATGTTGACGACCAGAAACCAAGATGGTGATGACCAGAAACCAAGATGGTGACGACTAGAAACCAAGATGGTGACGACCAGAAACCAAGATGGTGATGACTAGAAACCAAGATGTTGACGACCAGAAAACAAGATGGTGACGACCAGAAACCAAGATGGTGATGACCAGAAACCAAGATGGTGACGACCAGAAACCAAGATGGTGACGACCAGAAACCAAGATGGTGACGACTAGAAACCAAGATGGTGACGACTAGAAACCAAGATGGTGACGACCAGAAACCAAGATGGTGACGACCAAAAAACAAGATGGTGACGACTAGAAACCAAGATGGTGACGACTAGAAACCAAGATGGTGACGTCTAGAAACCAAGATGGTGACGACTAGAAACCAAGATTGTGACGACTAGAAACCAAGATGGTGACGAGTAGAAACCAAGATGGTGATGAGTTGAAACCAAGATTGTGACGACTAGAAACCAAGATGGTGACGTCTAGAAACCAAGATGGTGATGACTAGAAACCACGATGGTGACAAATAGAAACCAAGATGGTGACGAGTAGAAACCAAGATGGTGACGAGTTGAAACCAAGATGGTGACGACCAAAAAACAAGATGGTGACGACTACAAACCAAGATGGTGACGACCAAAAAACAAGATGGTGACGACTAGAAACCAAGATGGTGACGACTAGAAACCAAGATGGTGACGTGTAGAAACCAAGATGGTGACGACTAGAAACCAAGATGGTGACGACTAGAAACCAAGATGGTGACATCTAGAAACCAAGATGGTGACGACTAGAAACCAAGATGGTGACGTCTAGAAACCAAGATGGTGATGACTAGAAACCACGATGGTGACGAATAGAAACCAAGATGGTGACGAGTAGAAACCAAGATGGTGACGAGTTGAAACCAACATGGTGACGACCAGAAACCAAGATGGTGACGACCAAAATACAAGATAGTGACGACTACAAACCAACATGGTGACGACCAGAAACCAAGATGGCGACGACCAAAAAACAAGATGGTGAAGACTACAAACCAAGATGGTGACGACCAAAAAACAAGATGGGGATGTCTAGAAACCAAGATGGTGACGACTAGAAACCAAGATGGTGACGACCAAAAACCAAGATGGTGACGACCAGAAACCAAGATGGTGACGACCAGAAACCAAGATGGTGACGACCAGAAACCAAGATGGTGACGACTAGAAACCAAGATGGAGACGACCAAAAACCAAGATGGTGACGACTAGAAACCAAGATGGTGACGACCAAAAAACAAGATGGTGACGACTAGAAACCAAGATGGTGACGACTAGAAACCAAGATGGTGACGACTAGAAACCAAGATGGTGACGACTAGAAACCAAGATGGTGACGTCTAGAAACCAAGCTGGTGATGACTAGAAACCACGATGGTGACGAATAGAAACCAAGATGGTGACGACCAAAAAACAAGATGGTGACGACTAGAAACCAAGATGGTGACGACTAGAAACCAAGATGGTGACGTCTAGAAACCAAGATGGTGACGACTAGAAACCAAGATTGTGACGACTAGAAACCAAGATGGTGACGAGTAGAAACCAAGATGGTGACGAGTTGAAACCAAGATTGTGACGACTAGAAACCAAGATGGTGACGTCTAGAAACCAAGATGGTGACGACTAGAAACCAAGATTGTGACGACTAGAAACCAAGATGGTGACGAGTAGAAACCAAGATGGTGACGAGTTGAAACCAAGATTGTGACGACTAGAAACCAAGATGGTGACGACTAGAAACCAAGATGGTGACGTCTAGAAACCAAGATGGTGACGACTAGAAACCAAGATTGTGACGACTAGAAACCAAGATGGTGACGAGTAGAAACCAAGATGGTGACGAGTTGAAACCAAGATTGTGACGTCTAGAAACCAAGATGGTGATGACTAGAAACCACGATGGTGACGAATAGAAACCAAGATGGTGACGAGTAGAAACCAAGATGGTGACGAGTTGAAACCAAGATGGTGACGACCAAAAAACAAGATGGTGACGACTACAAACCAAGATGGTGACGACCAAAAAACAAGATGGTGACGACTAGAAACCAAGATGGTGACGACTAGAAACCAAGATGGTGACGTCTAGAAACCAAGATGGTGACGACTAGAAACCAAGATGGTGACGACTAGAAACCAAGATGGTGACATCTAGAAACCAAGATGGTGACGACTAGAAACCAAGATGGTGACGTCTAGAAACCAAGATGGTGATGACTAGAAACCATGATGGTGACGAATAGAAACCAAGATGGTGACGAGTAGAAACCAAGATGGTGACGAGTTGAAACCAACATGGTGACGACCAGAAACCAAGATGGTGACGACCAAAAAACAAGATGGTGACGACTACAAACCAACATGGTGACGACCAGAAACCAAGATGGTGACGACCAAAAAACAAGATGGTGACGACTACAAACCAAGATGGTGACGACCAAAAAACAAGATGGGGATGTCTAGAAACCAAGATGGTGAAGACTACAAACAAAGATGGTAACTACCAGAAACCAATATGTTGATGACCAAAAAACAAGATGGTGACGACCAGAAAACAAGATGGGGATGTCTAGAAACCAAGATGGTGACGACTAGAAACCAAGATGGTGACGACCAAAAACCAAGATGGTGACGACCAGAAACCAAGATGGTGACGACCAGAAACCAAGATGGTGACGACCAGAAACCAAGATGGTGACGACTAGAAACCAAGATGGAGACGACCAAAAACCAAGATGGTGACGACTAGAAACCAAGATGGTGACGACCAAAAAACAAGATGGTGACGACTAGAAACCAAGATGGTGACGACTAGAAACCAAGATGGTGACGACTAGAAACCAAGATGGTGACGACTAGAAACCAAGATGGTGACGTCTAGAAACCAAGATGGTGATGACTAGAAACCACGATGGTGACGAATAGAAACCAAGATGGTGACGAGTAGAAACCAAGATGGTGACGAGTAGAAACCAAGATGGTGACGAGTTGAAACCAAGATGGTGACGACCAAAAAACAAGATGGTGACGACTACAAACCAAGATGGTGACGACCAAAAAACAAGATGGTGACGACTAGAAACCAAGATGGTGACGACTAGAAACCAAGATGGTGACGTCTAGAAACCAAGATGGTGACGACTAGAAACCAAGATGGTGACGTCTAGAAACCAAGATGGTGATGACTAGAAACCACGATGGTGACGAATAGAAACCAAGATGGTGACGAGTAGAAACCAAGATGGTGACGACTACAAACCAACATGGTGACGACCAGAAACCAAGATGGTGACGACCAAAAAACAAGATGGTGACGACTACAAACCAAGATGGTGACGACCAAAAAACAAGATGCAGACGAATAGAAACCAAGATGCCATCAGCACCAAACAGAGAATTGTCTGCATTCTTTAAAGAGAGGCCTATACGTCGCTGGGTGACATTAAAATAATGTGGATTGACGGATTGAATGGAGCACGTCTGCATCTGGTGGTGAAACCCTGAGTTACAGAAGGAGGATCCCTGAAGGATGACGTCAGTGAGCTGCAGACAGAAGGTAAAAGCAGCAGCTCAGAGTTTCAGCTCAGTGAGGAGAGCAGCACCTCACACACTCTGGATCTCTGTATTATACACATTGATATAGGACGCTCAGTTTGGATCATCTGTCTAATGTGTTCTCATGATGAAGAACATGTGTTCACTGTTATTGCCATGTTTAAAGTGACATCTACATCCAGGTAATGCACTGCTCTTGTTGTGATGCTTGAAGAACCACAGGAGGATCATGGTGAACTCTACTCACATTTCATATTTCATACTGACTGCATACTCTGACACAGGTTTTTTTAAATACCTTTATTTCCTGATCATTCTTGCTTTGTATATTTGTATTATAGGTGCCAACGTGTTGCTGATTGTGGTTATCTGTGTGAACAGGAGCTTACATGAACCTATGTACCTTTTTCTGTGCAGCCTGTTTGTAAATGAACTGTGTGGTAGTACAGGGTTGTTTCCATTCCTTCTGGTTCAGATCCTCTCTGACATTCACACTGTTTCTGCTCCGCTCTGCTTCCTGCAGATTTATTCTCTGTATACATATACAGGTATACAATTTACTAATTTGTCCACCATGTCTTATGACAGATATCTTGCTATCTGTTATCCTCTGCAATATAACACTCGTATGACTTCTAACAGGGTTGCCTTTCTTATTGCTCTTACGTGGCTGTTTCCACTTATTGCCATTTTGATTTTGATTTTTCTGACTGTTCCTTTAACGCTGTGTGGGAACATCATTAACAAAGTTTACTGTGATAACTTCTCCATTGTTAAGCTGGCCTGCTCTGACACTACAGTCAATAATATATATGGACTAATTATAACTTTTTTCTTAATAATGTTTCCTGTTTCTCTCACTTTGATCTCGTACATGAGGATCCTCAGAGTGTGTTTCTCTGGCTCCAAACAGACCAGACAGAAAGCTCTCAGTACCTGCACACCTCACCTCGCTTCCCTGCTCAATGCTTCTTTTGGATCTTGCTTTGAAGTATTACAGAACAGATTTGCTATGAAATATGTGCCGAATATGCTGCGCATTTTATTATCCCTGTACTTTCTAACATGCCAGCCTCTCTTTACCCCAGTCCTGTACGGGCTGAAGATGACTAAAATCCGCATCATATGTAAGCGCCTGTTGTACGGAGAAGTGTAGGTCATCAAGAGATTGCAGAGAAAGAGAATGAAAGGACCCTGACTTCAGCAGTATTAACTCTAATGACGTGTCTCGTTCACTGTGTGCAGAGGAAGGAAATTAAACGTGCAGCTGTACATGTGCTGAGCTTGATGCTGCTCTCTTTTTCTGTTTCTTCTCTTGCTTTTCACTTTTCATATCAGCCTCAGTGATTTTAGGAGAACCCTGAAAGGTCCATGAGTCCGGACGTTAGGAGTGAAACTGAAGTTAAAGCTGAATGAAGCTCCTCGCTGTGAACAGACACAGAGCAGCTTCATATCAACTATGTTCCCAATATGTTGACAATATGTTCACCTTCGTCTTCTCTCACATGTAATGTGTCCCAAATATACATCCTGTGTAAGAATCTGCTGCTAGCCTGTGTTGGGAATAACATGTAACAGGATGGTTCAGTTTGAGTCAGAAGAGGAATAAAAATGCTTCAACATATTGAACTGTTATCTTTCTTTATTCAACAGGGACCATGCAATTGATGCACCGGGAGTTTCCAGATAATTTTCAACTCTTAAAATAAAATATCCAACAATACACTATGAATGTAAAATCACTATTAAATGCACCTCATGTGTCCCAAATAGAGAATTAAGGAATGTTTCTTCCACATATTGTTAAGGAGCAAAGCAATAAGATCTGAAATCCAGACACGTTAGCCATCTCATCAACATGTATTGGCACATATTTTGAAATGCAACTTGAAATGTTCCATTGAACATGAATACAGTTATTGAATGACTTTCTCTGACCACACATGAGTTTATTAAAGTGTATACAAGTAATAATGTAATATAAAAACAAAACCATTAAGCTGAGTGTGTCAGCAATGTCCACCCTGAGGAGAGATGTGGATCTGTATAATGATTATAGATGGGATTTGTATAGGGCTTGTTCTAGTGCTCAAAGATGCTTCACATACAATCAGAGTTAGTTTTGAGATACTTTTTGAAGAATACAAGAGTGTTGGCCTTTCAAATATTCAAAAGGTCTGGATTATAACAAGAACAAATTCAGAAGCTTAATCTTAATTTTCACAACTGCTACAATCAAAATCTGAAGGCCAATATATATATATATATATTGTATAAGCTAAGTATATTGTGTGTTCCACTGTAAGAGGAGCCTAGGCCTTCAGATTTTGATTGTAGCAGTTGTGAAAATTAAGATAAAGCTTCTGAATTTGTTCCATTTATCTAAAGATATACTAACTATGGATGGCATTAATTTGGCCTCCAGTGAGACTGTAAGGAATCTTGGTGTTATATTTGATCAGGATTTATCCTTTAACGCCCTCATAAAATCAATCTCAAGGACCGCCTACTTCCATCTACGTAACATTGCAAAAATCAGGCATATCTTGCCTCAAAACGATGCAGAGAAACTAGTCCATGCATTTGTTACTTCAAGGCTGGATTATTGTAACTCTTTATTATCAGGGTGTACCAAGAAGTCAGTCAAGTGGCTTCAGCTGATTCAAAATGCTGCAGCTCGTGTACTAACCAGAGTTAGGAAAAGGGACCACATTACTCCTGTTCTGGCTGCCTTACACTGGCTCCCTATAGAACACAGGATAGCATTTAAAATTCTTCTTCTCGCCTACAAAGCCCTTAATGGGCAGGCGCCATCTTACCTTAAAGAACTCATTATACCCTACTGTCCTACTAGGGCATTGCGTTCCAAGAATGCAGGGTTGTTGGTTGTTCCTAGAGTCTCTAAAAGTACAATGGGAGCCAGAGCCTTTTCTTATCAAGCTCCACATTTGTGGAATCAGCTTCCAGTTTGTGTTCGGGCGGCAGACACCCTATCCGTTTTTAAGAGTGCGCTTAAGACCTTCCTTTTTGATAAAGCTTATAGTTAGGGCTGATTAGATCCAGCCCCTAGTTTTGCTGATATAGGCTTAGTTTGTCGGGGGACATCTTACTTCTTCCTTCTCTCTGTCTATACCTGTGTACTCTCATGTTCCGATTAACCCAGCTTCCCCACATGTCTTTCTTTTTGGTGTCTATATACGCCGGGATCCGGAGTCATGGATGATCCTGCGGTCCTGTGTCCTGCATCGCGAGCCCTGGATCTTGAGTCGTGGCTGTGGTCCTGGATCATAGGTCCTGGATGGATATCCTCGTGGATTCATCTTCCTATTATTCACACATGCATTCCAAACATTTGGACTACCTATGTTGCAAATGTATTATCTCTTTAATTTACACACGGCATCTATTGCACGTCTGTCCGTCCTGGGAGAGGGATCCCTCCTCTGTTGCTCTCCCTGAGGTTTCTCCCATGTTCCCTTTAAACTGTGGGTTTTCTCTGGAAGTGTTTCCTTGTACGATGTGAGGGTCTAAGGACAGAGGGTCTAAGGTCAGAGGGTCTGAGGACAGAGGGTCTAAGGACAGAGGGTCTAAGGACAGAGGGTCTAAGGACAGAGGGTCTGAGGACAGAGGGTCTGAGGACAGAGGGTGTCCTATTGTCATACTGATATTTTGTACAAACTGTGAAGTCCACTGAGACAAATGTAACATTTGTGATATTGGGCTATATAAATAAACATTGATTGATTGATTGATTGATTGATTGATTGATTGATTGATTGATTGATTGATTGATTGATTGATTGATATTGAGGGAATGGTTTAGATGAAAGTTTTGAACGGGATTTTTTAACCAACCATCAGTATCAACTAAGGATCAACCTAGCATTAGTATTGGTTATAGTAACAGCTACAACATTAAAATACTTCTAGGCAGATTGAGGAGGATAATGGGAGAATGAACAGAGGGGCAGAAACATCCATCTGAATAATAATAACTTTATTTGTATCGCACCTTTCATACAGGGGATTGCAGTTCAAAGTGCTTTACATCAGTAAGAAATAAGATATACAATCAGTGTAAAACAAGCAGCAAGAGCAAAGCATAAAGTGGGATCAAATAATGCATATATATTATATATATTATATATATATATATATATATATATATATATATATATAGTAATCCCAACAGGCCACCTTGTTTATGGTTTGATTCAGTTTTAGTAGAATATAAAATACATGAATGATGAAATGAGCACATAAAGTTCAGACATACTATAATTATATTGAGGTACTTGAGACTAATCCTGCAACTGTATAGTTCTGCTCCACAACAGTTCAAGAATGAAGAAACCATCACGTATGAAAGGCTACATGTGAATAGAGGGGCAGAAAAACGGCTTGCACATTTACATTTCAATCTTGAACAATGAACAGCGGTAGACAGTATCTCATTTAGTATCATCATTCTGCGCTTCGCCGGAGGCCTTCAGTGCTGAGTGTGCTCGGCCTCTCTCCGAGCCGCGGTGCCGGTGTGGTGCAGATGGTGGATTCTGCCAGGGGAGTGAGTGCAGGGCTCAGCATCAAAGTGGAAGGAGTCCTTGTGGTGCTGGTCCAGGTTTCACTGCTGGTGCCACCGGGGGTTGATTCTGCAGTTCCTTACATTTTTTAAAATAAATTCACAGTTAGTTGGATTTAATACCATGGCTTCTTAAAACTGTTTACTGAGCATTCATAACAAAACAATACCCTGAAATGTGTGTGCCATTAGTTTGGGGTGTGGTCAAGTGTGAGAGGTACATTGTAGACACATTGTGATGGCTCTATTCAGATGCTAAAGACATACTTCTAGAAGATTCAGAACACTACAAAATATAATCAAGACATATTTTATCATGTATTATTATAGGTTAAGATAAAAGCGTTATTGATCTCATGGTGAATTTCATGAGCTACCCAGCAGTATATCATGTATTTCAATTAGCTCCTCCTTTACCAGCTGCAACATTAAGTTGATGAGCACATCAATAATTATAATACAATAATATATATATTATTCTGTTATTGTTATATTTAACACTGTAACCACCAAATGAATGAAAATAAGGTTTTTGTAAATGAAAGAAGCAAGAAACACTTATTTGTACTCAACAAATAAAATAGTTACCGTGATGGTGAGGTTTGAAGTACTCTCCTTCCTTCTTGTGTAGGGCTCTAAAAACTGCATCCTGGTTATGATCCACTGCTGTCTGCCAGTCCTTTGTGCTCCACAACTACCCGAAGGGGCAAGTCTCCTGTACCGGGTGCACTGGGTTCGCAGAGAATCCCAATTCTTCAGCTCTTTCTTTCTCTTTCTCACACAAATAAACGATGTAAGCATTGTGGCTAGTTAGCATGTCCAATTCATATCTATATGCAGTGCCAAACTGCACAGCTAGCAACAGCTAGCAACAAGATAACAACAAAACACAAGGTTGAAATAACAAATTACATTTCACATTAACGTCACTGTACGCTGGCAAACAATAAAAAGCCAACAATATCTGCTAAAGAGCTCAATTGATGAAAAAGATAATCTTACCCGAGAAACCAAGTTGCGTTTCAATCTCTCGCCAGAGTCCGGTTTTCACTACTCGGTTCGAGTACCTTTTCTCTGTGATGTCGTACAGAGCTGGCCTCTCCTGGATCAAGGTCATGAGCAGGTCTTCGTTTGCGTCATTCCAGATCGCCATGATGAGATGAAAATGAATAGCAGTCTGTGTGTGCCTTCTTAAATCGTTTGTTTACGTCCCTCACTTCCGTTTCGCTTCTCATGCACTGATTCGCTAGCTGAACAGCCAATCAGAGTGATTGCTTGGTCCGACTGCCTGACCCGATGTATCGGGTCAGGCAGTCCAAATAAGGCGTGTCACGGGACACACCAAATTGAGTTTGGGCGACAGGACACGCTTCGTCTTCCGACTAACAAAAATGGCCGAAATCGTCCTGGTGTGTCAGGGCCTTAACTGTCACGTTTGAAGGGACGAAATCGTGACATCTTCACGTCTCCCAGCATGGTAAATCGCCACATGTTCACGTCTTGCCGTGATACCGCGTTGGTTATCAGATATATCCTGATGTAGCCATGTTTCCAGAAAGCACATGAAACTACACTGCAGGTCTTTCAGCGTCTGGCTAATGTCGCTAACTTGTCTAATTTGTTCAATATCGTATAAGCGGAAAGAGGGTGGTCAAAGACTAAAGTGAGCATTAGAGGACAGACACACCTTCCTCTCTTTTATTCTGTTAAAGACATTTTATTCTAAGTCTCAGTGGTCGTATGTTTTTACACATTGGTCTGGACCAGTGGTGTAGTGGGGATTTTTTTACTGGGGGGACGCTATTTTAATTAGGTCATCCCAAACAATGCCAAACAAGTGCGCAATACGGGAGCCATCGCCGACGCTGCTCCCCTACGTTGCACGGCTGTGTCAACAGGCCTGCACCTATCAGACTCGAGCACCACATCTTCTCCAAGGGCGAATGGAGACGAGCCAGGCTGAGAGACCACCCCCGAGCATTATTCACCATCTCGATGGACATGCCAGTCGGGCTGAGGGATGGCACCAGCAACCGGGGCTCGGCCGACGGAGCTCGGATATCTGCCGTCGCGGACACTGGCGCGCAGTCGGACCTTTGGTCTCTGGAGGAGTTCCTGGCCTGCGGTTTCTCGCGGGACGACCTGCGACCCGTCAGCCTCAGCCTGTCGGCTGCCAACCGCTCCCCTATAGCCATCGAGGGAGCATTCTTCGCTAGGCTCTCGACGACCTGCAGCGGGGGGTGTGTTACATCCTGTCGTTCCATGGTATATGTGAGCAGCTCGGTCCGGGCCATGTACCTCTCCTACGAGTCGTTGCTCAACCTCGGCCTCTTGCCCGTGAACTTCCCGTCGGACGACGTTGCAGGGGGCCCAAGGACAGGCGTAGCCCTGACACGGCTGACACGCCAGACCAGCCCTTGTCCGTCAATGCGACGAGGTTAGCCAACGGCGGCTGCGTGGGGCCAGGTGACCCCCGGGACGCCCAGTGTTCATGTCCTCAGCGCACGGTCCCCCCGGCGCGCCCTGCAGCACTGCCGTTCCCTTGTACGCCAGAGAACAACAACCGGATGAAAGGTTGGCTACTCAGGAGATATGCCTTGTCGACATTCAATACTTGCCCCCATCGGGCACTGCCATGCATGGAGGGGCCACCTATCGAGATGCACGTGGACCCCGCAGCTACGCCTAAAGCATGCCACACCGCGGCTACAGTGCCTCTACACTGGCAGCAGAGGGTCCACGATGACCTCCTGCGGGACGAAGCCCTTGGGGTCATTGAACGCGTGCCATACGGCGAGCCAGTGGCGTGGTGCCATCGTATGGTAGTCACTCGGAAGCACAACGGTTCCCCCCGCAGGACCGTGGACCTCCCCCTGCCTCAACAAGTTCTGTCAACGTGAGACCTTCGCCACTGAGTCCCCGTTCCACCTTGCACGCCGCGTCCCGAAGGGCACCTGGAAGACCGTCACGGACGCCTGGAACGGCTACCACAGTGTCCCCCTGCGTGAGTCGGATCGCCACCTCACTACCTTCATCACACCCTTCGGCCGTTGGAGCTACACCGGGGCACCACAGGGTTTCCTGTCATCAGGGGATGGCTACAACCGTCGGTTTGACGCCGTCCTCTCGGACTATGAACGCGAGGAACGTTGTGTGGATGACACCATCCACTATGACACCGACCTGGAGCAACACTGGTGGAAGACCATCGACTTCCTGACGCGTGTCGGTCGGTCGGGCATCGTGTTGAACCCGGACAAGCTTCAGTTCGCGGAGAGGTGCATCGATTTAGCTGGCTTCAGGGTGTCGGAATTAGGGATGCCATAAACTGACCATGATCAAAATCGAAAATTGGACAGCCCTGACAAATAATAATCGATCATTCCCCCTCGTGCTCAGCGAACGGCCTCTCATTGGGGCTGCCGAGCGGGCCTGACGCTGTGGAGTCAGCACTCATGGCCTCCATCCGCGACGACGCACGGGAGCTCGGAGCCGTCTCTTGGACCCTCCTCCAACTCATGGAGCAGGAGGGTGGGATTGACGTTAACGACCCTGTCTGTGAGTCCGTCTACGCACAGGACGGCGTCCTGCTTTATTGGGACCGCGTCGTGGTCCCCCCATCCCGAGTCCTTCGGCATCTCCATGCCGCTCACCAGGGGACCTCAGCAATGGGGCAGCATGCCCGAGCCATAGTTTACTGGCCCGGGATGTCCGGGGACATTCAGGCCACCAGGGAGGGGTGTGCAGACTGCAACCGCAATGCTCCGTCACAGGCGGCTACACCCCCCCGGCCGTCCTCACCCCCGTCCACGCCATTCGAGGCGGTGTTTGCTGACTTCTTCGACTATGGGGGCCACCACTACCTAGTCCCCTTGTCGGGGACCGGCTCTCGGGCTGGGTAGAGGTCCTGAGCTCTACGGCGGGTACTGCCCTGGCGGGCTCAGCTGGCCTGGTCCAACACCTCCGTTCGTTCTTCGCCACCTTCGGCATACCGGAGGAGCTCTCGAGCGACGGTGGTCCGGAATTCAAGGCAAGCCACACTGAGGACTTCCTCCGCTTATGGCACGTCAAACACTGTGTGTCTTCCGTTAGCTTCCTGCGTGCTATGCTGCAGTTGCGAAACACGCCTGACCCCGAATGCAACCTCTCGCCAGCGCAGATCATCTTCGGCCGCCCCCTTGGTGGCTCGCTCTCCTTCGTGAACCGCCTCGAGACGTTCTCGAACCCGCATATCCGCCTGCTATGGCGCGAGGCATGGGCGGTGAAGGAGGACGCCCTTCGGACCCGTATGTCCCGTACCACCGAGTCTCTGGGGACTCACTCAAGACCGCTCCGCCCGTTGGCACTCGGCGAAAGGGTATTCCTCCAGAACCAGCAAGGCCCGAGCCCCCACAAATGGGACAGGTCAGGGATCGTGGTGGAGTCGCCGGGCCACGACCAGTATCGGGTCAGGGTTGACGGTTCGGGACGTCTGACACTGCGCAACCGGCGGTTCCTCCGTGCCTACACGCTGGCCACACCCTGCGCCCGTGAGCAGTCGGCTGCGCCGTCGCCGCCGCCCGCTGCCCTGGGACATCAGCCCCCACCTATCCACCCGGGCTGGTCGACGCCCCAGGGGATTACTCAGCAGCCGGCTGTTGGACCCCGTGACTCGGCTATGGGCGCTTCCCCACCGGCGCCTACTGGTGAGGCGTCCTCTGACCTCACCGTTCCTACGGGTGCCTTCCTGGGTGCACCGCTCCCGGTGCCGCAGTCGCCGCCGAGGGCCGCGTGAGGAGGCCGCCTGCACGTTACGAGCCCGAGTCCGGCAGCTGGATGCGGGATTTAGACCGTTAATCTATTCCGGCCCATAGCTTTCCGGTCTGGGGGGGATGAAGAGTTTATCGCCGGCCACTAGAGGGCAGCGTCACTAATGTCGCTGTCCGGATATGCCGTGCTCTGACCCGGTAGTGCCGAGCGGCCATTTTAGTTCAAACATTGTTCATTCACTCCGCCTCGAGTTGAGATGTTCATCCACTCATTCATGTAAGATTGTTTCCACTATTGTTTGGTGTGTCTATACTCTGTGTCGTTGTATATATTTGTATTGGTCATGACATGCATGGATGTAGTACTTTGTCAGCTTATCTTGCTGCATTGTTCTGTTTCAGGGTGTCGTCATCCTTGTCATTAAACTACCGAAACTGACATTGAGGAGTGTGTTTCTTCATCGCCAAATTCAGATGATAAATACAGCCTTTAAGTTTGTAAAGGCATAATTACAAGAGGCAACTTAACGTCACAGCAGGCATAACAACAGCCGGTGTTTCTTGTGAGGGTTCCCCGGGAAACAAACACAATACACACGAACGCGTCACAGATTATTTTGCGGTATTTGGCTGCCGAACGAAATCATGTAAACAGCTCGCAACGTAACTAGGAGTCTAGTGGACGTATCAGTACTACAAGTTTTTTTTAATTAATTACGTTGTTTATAAATTAATCTCAGGGCCGCCATTTGCCCATCCCTGCTGTAGCTGCTGTGAATATCAGGATAACGGCTTTGAATCTTTGAATGCTGTTCAGATTGTAAAGAGCCAAAAATCCCAAATTTACAAATGTGGAAATTTAAATCAATTTAATCTGATCAAATTGGACCAGATGGACAGTTATAATTTAAGATAATAATAACCTGATAAAGGTAGGCAGGTCAATCTCATTTATAAAGGCAACGTATTCTGTCCCCTTATTTAGTTCACTTTATTTCTACTCAATTGAGATTAATGAACTTCAACATTTTGTTCCATACATCTTTGTGTGAGTGCAGAGGTTACACGATTTCAGATCATTTAGCTTTTAATCAGAATTAGAATCAGAAATCCTTTATTTGTCCAATCAGAAAATGTACAGCAAAGGGACAGTGCAGATACAAAGGCAGATATAGAATGAGTACACTTACATATTAAATAAACTAAGTACACATTCATGGTAACAAAATAATAAGCAGCAGCAGTATTTAAAGTACATGAACACATACGTCTTGAAATAGCAGCCTGTTAAATCATCAATTAAATATAGAAAGGTGTATAATGCAAAGTGTTACTTCACAACAGAGTTTTTAAAGTTTTAGAAGGCAGTAACAATATCATGTAGGAGATGAAATAAAGAAGTAAAGAATTATACTTTATCCTGATGGGAACGTTCAAAAGGAACCACTTCAAAATGTAAATTGTATTTGTGATCCGTCAGTATAAGATTAGGGGAATGTGTTTCCTGTCAATGTAATAGAAAAGGCAATTTGGTTGTGAGGAGAGAAACTGGAGAACAGACGTTCTGCTGCTTTCACTCAGATTCACTTTATTAAGTTCATGTGGTCGGAGAAAGTCTTTACTGACTTCATTCATGCTCAATGGACACTTTCAAACCAGTTTCTAAATCACCCCAATACATTATAATTTTAGACCGTACAACGTGTAGAAGAAGAGCTTTCAGTGACTGCAGCAACAGATTGTGGTCACTTTCTGAAGAAGGTCAGACCTTTAGAGACAACATTTATAACTCCTGTTCTGACTCAAACTGAACTCATCTGTTAGAGGTTATTCCTAACCCCAACTAGCAGCAGATTTTTACACAGGATGTATATCTTGGACATGTTGAGGCCGTACATCATAGGGCTGAAGAGAGGCTGACAAGTGAGGGTATATAATGATAAAAATATTCTCAACATGTTGGGTACACCGCTCATATTAAACCTGCTCTGTGATACTTCAAAGAAAGCCCCAAAGGAGAAGTTGATGAGGGAAGCGAGGTGAGGTGTGCAGGTGCTGACAGATTTCTGTCTGCTCTGCTTACAGCCAGAGAAACACACTCTGAGGATCCTCATGTACGAGTACACGATCAGAGACACAGGAAACATGATTATGAAAAAAGTAAAGATGAGTCCATACACATTATTGACTGTAGTGTCAGAGCAGGCCAGCTTAACAATGGAGTAGTTATTACAGTAAACGTTGTTAATGATGTTCCCACACAGCTGCAAAGACACACTCAGTGATATTAGAATCCAAATTGCAATGAAAGGCAATAACCATGTCATTGTTATAAGCATTGCAACCTTTTTAAACGTCATATGTGTGTTATATTGCAGAGGATAACAGATAGCAAGATATCTGTCATAAGACATGACGGCTAAATTAATGAATTCCACACACACATATGTATGCACAGAATAAACCTGCAGGAAGCAGAGCGGAGCAGAGACAGTGTGAATGTCAGAGAGGATCTGAACCAGAAGGAATGGAAACAACCCTGTACTACCATACAGTTCATTTACAAACAGGCTGCACAGAAAAAGGTACATAGGTTTATGTAAGCTCCTGTTCACACAGATAACCACAATCAGCAACACATTGGCACCTATAATACAAATATACAAAGCAAGAATGATCAGGAAATAAAGGTATTTAAAAAGACCAGTGTCAGAGTATGCAGTCAGTATGAAATATGTCGAAGTAGGACACCATAGTGAAATATGAAATGTGAGTAGAGTTCACCATGATCCTCCTGTGGTTCTTCAAGCATCACAACATGAGCAGTGCATTACCTGGATGTAGATGTCACTTTAAACATGGCAATAACAGTGAACACATGTTCTTCATCATGAGAACACATTAGACAGATGATCCAAACTGAGCGTCCTATATCAATGTGTATAATACAGAGATCCAGAGTGTGTGAGGTGCTGCTCTCCTCACTGAGCTGAAACTCTGAGCTGCTGATTTTACCTTCTGTCTGCAGCTCACTGACGTCATCCTTCAGGGATCCTACTTCTGTAACTCAGGGTTTCACCACCAGATGATTCTCCACCGGACAAACCAGACAGAAGGGTCTTTGGTGAATTCTCTGGGCCGATGATAAGATGTCATTTTAACATCCTGCCATCTCCAGCCCGGCTTCAGCTCCAGCACCTAACCCGGCCATTTTTTTGTTGGTTCGTACTTATTTGTTCATCGCGGTTTGGCAAGAAGGTGGACCCAAGAGCAGTCAAAACAAGATCTCCGTAGTTTCAACGAAAAGCCAGCTTTAATTTATAAAAACCTTATAACTAAGAATAAACAAAGAAAAACTCAACCTCAACAAACAAGGGAACAAGAGGAGGGATCAAGGGGCCAACAGCCAGGAACAAACATGGATTTCCAAATAAAACAGAAAGTAAATATATTGTGATAATGTTGACGACCAAAAGCCAACATGGTCAGGACCAACTACTAAGATATTGAAGAAAAATAACAGGATGTTAACGGCCAAAAACTTAGATGTTGACGATCAAATACCAATATGGTGACGACTACAAACCAAGATGGTGATGACTAATGTTACGACCCTGGGTCGTTAGGTCATTTGTGTGTACATTTTTCCCTCCTCCTGTGTCTGTGTGTGTGTGTGAGCAAGCAGGTGGTGCCCGTTAGCTGATTAGCTATCTTCTGCATGCTGATTGGTCCACCTGGGGAGACGGGAGGGTATTAAGCTGCAGCCATGCAGTTCCTCAGCCGCTCTCTCTGACTTGACTTCTCCTACTCCCAACACAAATGTGCGTACGATATCTGTCCTGTTGTGCTAATACTTATTTATACCGGTTCTTCTCTTCTGTCGTGAGACTGTTGTATGAAAAGCTACTGAACCTGTCTTTGTAGACACACTTTACTTTTTTCTTAGGAGTGCGAAAGTTGAATATTCGTTTTCTCCTGTTTTTATAGTAGAGTAGGTAAGAGTATGTTTATTTTCTCTTTCGTTAGGTAAGATTTTTGTGTTTAAAGGTTTGTTTGTTTTATGGTTTTGTTACTCCTGTTTGGTAATTAAATGTACCAAACGGCATTCTCTGACTCAGTGTCCGTGTTCTTGGGAGTGGGAAGAGTGGGGAGAGTGGGGAGAGTGCACATTTTGTGCTGCGCCTAAGTTCCCCCAGACCTGGGCGTAACACAATTATGTTAAAACAAACCTTTAAACACAAAAATCTTAACTAACGAAAGAGAAAATAAACATACTCTTGGATGGATTATCTGAAATCATTTCAAAGTGACACAGAACATTTGGATTAAACATTGGATTAACGTTCAGCAGCGTTTTAATCGTTTTGATGCCATTGAACACAACTTTTGATCAGAACAACAGCAAAGGTAAGAATATTATGATGTCTGGGTCTCTTTATCCTCTTACCTAAGTAAAAATCATCCTGATATGAAAATAAATTGTTAATTTTGTAAATGTTGCATTAATTTAGACTAAAATAGAATTGGAACCAGCTTATGTTTTAGGTCGGATATGTGTTGTCTTGAGGTCAGCGGGTCTGTATTAATTTCCTTCTGACTATTAATTCAAACCTTCTAATTGACCTATCAGAAGCTATTGAGTCTATGGAAGTTTACCGCCAGGCTCGGATCCACCTGGATCAGCAAGGTCTCACCTCTACTAACTCCTGAAGAACCAGGTTCAATGAACTGCTGTTTTAAGGCAGACGACTTACCAAATCTGTTTAAGCGATCCCTTAGGATTCTAGTATCTTTAATGAGGTATGGCCCTATCTAAGTGTGCGCAATCTTACCCTAAATCAGGAGAGGACAGCTCATAATTAATTTAGGTTAACAGGTAAGAGAAGCAGAAGCAAGTACACACCAACATACCCATATATGTGGGGGTGTGTCATTTCTGACTGTGAGACTGGACATGTCCAGACTTTCCTCGAAAATGAAACTAAAGCTTACAGTAAAATCCCATTGAGTCAGGGGCCTCCTGCTGTTAGAGTAAGGGGGTTTCCCCACTGCTGAATAGTGACGCCATTAGGGACAAACTATAACAGACCTTACACTCTTTCATGTCTATATTTATGCCCCTTTTCCACCAAACCGCTTCCAGAGCCAGTTCCGGGCTACAGCCTGATTTAGTTTTGGTTCTTCCTGTTTCCACCGCAGTGGAGCCGGCTCTAAGCACCAAAAAACGGTTCTTAGCTGACCCCACTCGCAAGAACCAAGAACCAAGAACCAAGAACCAAGAACCAAGAACCAAGAACCAAGAACCAAGAACCAAGAACCAATACTTCACGCTTACGTCGGAGGGCGGGATTAACCTAATGTTAGGGTTGTACAAGGGCGTGGAATCAAATGCACGATGCAGAGACAAACAAAGTATCAAAAATAAAGTGTTTTAATGTAGACAGGTCATAACACACTGAATACATAAAGCTGGTTCTTCCTGTTTCCACCGCAGCTGAGCCAGCTCTAAGCACTAAAAACCGGTTCTTAGCTGAACCCACTCGCAAGAACCAAGAACCAAGAACCAAGAACCAAGAACCAAGAACCAAGAACCAAGAACCAAGAACCAAGAACCAAGAACCAAGAACCAAGACCCAAGAACCAATACTTCACGCTTACGTCGGAGTGCAGGATTAACCTAATCAACAACAACAAAATGCCGCAAATTCTGTTCAGCAACACAGACAACTAGGAGCCAGGATGGATGCCAGTGAATCAGAATCAGAATACCTTCATTAGTCCCACGGAAGGGGCATTTGCGTAGTTACAGCAGGAAAAAGAGCCACAAACAGCTTAATGTTACATATGTTACATATGTTACATGCATTAAAAAAAGTACTATGTTATGATATAATAAAAATATAATACAAAATAAAAAGTTAACTAACAACAAAGCTAAAGCTGGCCTACTACAGCTACTGAGCTTGCAAGTAAACAAACGATAGATCTAGCATGCTAATGCTAGACAGCATGTATCTCCATGGCAACGAACGTTAACGCTGTCGATATGAGGGATTTCCGCGCCGTGTGGGTGTCATAAGAAGGCACGTAAACGTTTACGTGATGACACAAACGATGACGCAATGACGCAGCTTCACTGGAGCTTCACTCAGGCTCTGAGTGGTGGAAACACAAGTGGTGCTACAGAGAAGAACCGGTTCAGCACCAGAAAAGCACAAGAACGGATCTTGAACCGGATCCTGTTTGGTGGAACAGGGGCATTAGTATATAAGTATAGAGCTTCCTGAAATATAAAGCATTTGACATTGTGGAATATAACAAAAAACAAGATGTTGATGACCAAAAAACAAAATCGTGGCGACTAGAAACCAAGATGGTGACGACCAGAAAACAAGATGGTGACGACTAGAAACTAGGAGGGTGACGACCAAAAAAATAAATGTTGATGAACAATAAAATAAATGTTGACGACTAGAAACCAAGATGTTGACGAGCAGAAAACATGATGGTGACGACTAGAAACCAAGATGGATACGACTAGAAACCAAGATGGATACGACTAGAAACCAAGAGTGTGACGACTAGAAACCAAGATGGAGATGACTAGAAACCAAGATTGTGACGACTAGAAACCAAGATGGAGACGACTAGAAACCAAGATGATGACGACATAAAAACAAGATGGTGACGACTAGAAACCAAGATGGTGACGACCTAAAAACAAGATGGTGACGACTAAAAACCAAGATGGTGACGACCAAAAACCAAGATGGTGACGACCAGAAACCAAGATGGTGACGACCAGAAACCAAGATGGTGACGACTAGAAACCAAGATGGTGACGACCAGAAACCATGATGGTGACGACCAGAAACCAAGATGGTGACGACTAGAAACCAAGATGGTGATGACTAGAAACCAAGATGGTGACGACCAGAAACCAAGATGGTGACGACCAGAAACCAAGATGGTGACGACTAGAAACCAAGATGGTGACGACCAGAAACCAAGATGGTGATGACCTGAAACCAAGATGGTGACGACTAGAATCCAAGATGGAGACAACCAAAAACCAAAATGGTGACGACCAAAAACCAAGATGGTGAAGACTAGAAACCAAGATGTTGACGACCAGAAAACAAGATGATGACGACTAGAAACTAGGAGGGTGACGACCAAAAAAATAAATGTTGACGACTAGAAACCAAGATGGAGACGACTAGAAACCAAGATGGTGACGACTAGAAACCAAGATGGTGACGACTAGAAACCGATGGTGACGACTAGAAACCAAGATGGATACGACTAGAAACCAAGATGGTGACGACTAGAAACCAAGATGGAGACAATTAGAAACCAAGATGGTGACGACTAGGAACCAAGATGGAGACGACTAGAAACCAAGATGGTGACGACCTAAAAACAAGATGGTGACGACTAGAAACCAAGATGGTGATGACCAAAAACCAAGATGGTGACGACCAGAAACCAAGATGGTGACGACCAGAAACCTAGATGGTGACGACTAGAAACCAAGATGGTGACGACCAAAAACCAAGATGGTGACGACCAAAAACCAAGATGGTGACGACCAGAAACCAAGATGGTGACGACTAGAAACCAAGATGGAGACAACTAGAAACCAAGATGGTGACCACCAAAAACCAAGATGGTGACGACCACAAACCAAGATGGTGACGACCAGAAACCAAGATGGTGACGACTAGAAACCAAG